CACTTCTGATTGTAAGTTTGAAATATTTTTATATGAATGTATATATTTCGTATCGATTTATTATTGATGTATTGATTAAGTTAATGTTTTTTTTTTCAGTTGGTGTACGTGTATAACATGAAGTATTCTATCAAGATAGACAAAAGGCTTCCTTTTATTGGGCATATAAATGGTGCTAAATTGTTAGAGGTTCAAAAATTAGAAATCAGTTTGGGAGGGTTCAGGAGGCAATTTCGGGATGAGCATGATGATGTCGATATGGTCGATGAAACAGGAGCTGAAGAACAGCAAATGCTAAGCTTTAAGAGGGATTTTGGAGATGAAGAGGTAATATTATGGTAGATTATGAAGTAAATATTATGAAAGTAATAGTTAATGATATATTCTAATAGAATATATAGTACACATTTTTGTAATGTTATCATTTATTAATTATATGTGTTTCAGGCGTACGCAGCTGTTATAGAGCATAGTTATGGGGTTATTGTAACAGAGAAAAGTACTATGGAGGTTGCGTTGAAGGATGGGTTGTTAAAATTCCCTCATAGTGTGGTGCTGAATGAGTGGATGAAGAAAATGAATGAACTTTTTAAGGGAGTGTTTAAAGGGGCAGGTAACCAAAAAGTGCATGAGCCTGCCTGCTTTAATGAGGTAAATATGAATGATGTAGGTGATGGCGGTGAAGGAAATAGTTCACCTATTAGAGGATTGATACTTACTGAAGTAAATACTGAAAAGGACGACAATTATACCACACCTGTTGATACGACTTCTTTAACAATGACTCAGTTTCATCGACTTCCAGGGGTGAATGACGAAATGATCAAGTTGTTGGAGGAAACTGAGTTACAAGTGTATAAAAAGAAAAAGCAAATGTCAATAATCAGTGGGGATAATCTGGTAGGAAGAAATATAGGAGAAGCTGTTGATAATGCTGGAGGATATGATGATAATGACAAAAGGGAAAAACGTATTCCTAAAAAAGCAAAAGTATTTAATTCGCCCAATATTGAAAGAATTGTTAAGGTTGGGGAAAAACTGTCTAAGGATGAAACATGGATATGCAATTTAGTTTTTGCATCTACAAGAGATGATGGGTATATATATATATATATATATATATATATATATATATATATATATATATGTGTGTGTCACCTATTATATTTCTATAACTTTAAAATGAATGTTTTAAAATTGATGTTATACATATTTTTTTTCACAGGGATGAGATTTGGGACATTGGAACAGGTCATTTGCTGCACCAGGGTTTTGCATATCAATTTAATCATGGAATGTTTTTGCATTCTAAAATAATTGATTGTTGGGCTGCGTTTTTAAATAAAATGGAAAACTACAAGGATGAGTCATCGCTTTCAAGATTTTTCTTCGATACAACTATTGTGGTATGAATTTATGTTGTAAAAAAAAAAATTTAATTCAAATTTATTTCTGTAGAATTAATATTGATGTTGAGTTGGGGTTTTTCAGACAGAAGATATATTGAATGAGCTAAAGTCGGAAGATATGAAATGTAGGCTTTTTGCTACTTTATTGCGAATCTACACTAAGAAATTTGATGTGAAGCCAAGTTTTAGAGACGTTGCACTTGTAAGATTATTTTATAAATATAATATTTGTGGCATCAATTAATATTAACGTAACCTCTTCTTTTAATGTGTACAAGGTTTTCTTCCCAATAGTTGATGATGGAAAGTATTACTTACTCATCTTTGATCTGAAATCAAGTTTGTACTACATAGTAGATCATGTGAAGAGAACAGGAACTTTGGAAAGAAAGTATGGCATGATACCAAACCTGGTGGTAAGATAATCAATAAATTTCTGATTAATAGTTTTCCATTCTAAGGAATATTATAAGATTATTTTTTATGTATTTGTTGTAATTAATGCCAGAAAAAACTGTTTTGCAACTACTTGACATCACAACATCATCCAATGGCAAAAACGTTAACTTTTAAAGCAGCACGTGTGATGAACATATCTTGGCTAGTCGAAAAAGCTGGAACAGAATGTGGAATATACCTCATGAGGCATATGGAAACGTACATGGGGGAATATGAAGGGCGTTGGGAGTGTGGTCTTACAGGTAAAATGCCTGCTGATGTGAGTGCTACAATTAAGCTAAGGATAAAATACATGGCAAGATTGTTGACATCTGATTTCAATAAGTTCAAGAATATGATAGTTAAAGATATTGAAGCGTTTCGTAAGCTTGACATTTTGGAACAAGATATGCTTCTAAGAGAGTCAGCTGAAAACAGGAAGAAAAAAAGAAAAACAAAGGGTCGTAGGTAAGAATTTGGCGTGGTATTTAATAAGTTGACAGATAAACTTTGATATGTCATGAGCTGAACTTGTTTTTTTGAATGTTGAAACATGACTCTGCCTTATGTTAGATGTTTGAAAAAGTAGATTGTCTATCAGACGTTATGAAGTAATGTTATCAGTAGTATTCGATATATGTTATAATGGAATGGTAATTTTCGTATAATGGGTGTGTTGATGCGTTGTTTAAATTCTAGGATGATGATGTTGTGCATTGTGAAAATCTAAGGTTCTTGTTAGTAATGTAGTTTTCATATAATGCAACTTAATATTACTAATGCATGTGTTGATGTTTTTTTGTTTCTAATAATCTTGTTAATATAATTCAATGTTGTGGTTAATAATGTTTTGTGACTATTGTGAATAGAATTTTTTTTTTACAAATTATATGATGATGATGCAAGGTAGTATTTGTTATGATTCTGGTAGAATACGTTATGTAGATATTATGAAATAGGATATAAATATAATGAATTCTTGTATACAAATTGCATGTATCGTTTGTATATTACAGTAAATAATAAAACATTTTTGTTAACATTAAAATCAAACTTAAATTGATTGAAAGAATTTGTATATGTTGCTGTAAATTATACAATTGATGGAAATTTTGTATTAGAAGTTTTGAAAATAATGAATTTATACAGTCGATGGAATGAATTTTTGTATTACGTTTTATGAGTATTTTTAAGTAATAAGATAATATGAATATTTTTATGTTGATTGACAATGTCATCGTCAATAGTAATAAAAGTGAATACTTTATTGAACGACATAAAAGATAACAATAAGTGTGAATCGACAGAATTAAATCAAATGTCATTCTAATAAACTAAAAAAAAAACAAGGAACTTATTTCTTGGTGTTCTTTAGAGGACAATTTCTTTTGTCATGATGAACCATCTGTTCACATGTAGCACATTTTCTCTTTGGTTTCGAGATTTCCTTCTCAATCATCTCTTTTGTAGATTTTAATCTTTTTCCACGACTACCGCAACCTTTGTTACGAATATTTGTAGGATTCTGAATGTCATTAACATCAGATTCTACATCAGGAACAACCACACCTAAAAGCTGCTTGAAATGATCTGCTCTGGTCGGTAGATCATGATTTGAATAGTCGTCTACGAATTTTTTTTTCAAGTTATTCTATTCGTCAAGGTATAACTTTAACTTTGCTGCATCGTGGCTCAAAAAAGATACACAACGGTCAACAGTTGAAAAAATATCAATAGCAGTCATGTCGGAAGTAGAATCGTCGAAAGAATTATTGAAGCGTCTTTTCAGTAATTCTGTTGGAATGACATCCCTACGCCAACATTTCAAAATGTACTTTTCAGGAATTTGTTCGATGCCATAAAACTTAAACACACAGAATATGTGTCTGCATAAGATACCTAAATGTTCAAAATGCATACAAGTACATTTGAATGAACCATCTTTAGTTGAGTGTGTGACCTGGAAAATATAAGATGATTAGTGAAAATAATTAAGTTGTAAATTTTTAGTGTTTAAATGTAAATGATAAAATGACAATTAATGTGAAAAAAACATACCATGTATTCAGTATCCCTTATAAGACAATCGTAATTGTATTCCTCATCTTTGTCATCAACATCGACATCATTTGTTTGCCTAATAGTTATGTTCTTTCTTTTCTCCATAACAATAATCGTGTCAACACCGTTGGAAGATATCACATTCTTTTGGAAACAATTATCTTCAGATCTTGATATCTCCTTCTAAACCTGATAAAAAATCTTTCGTGTATATACATTTGAAGCATGAGGTTCATACGGAGTACGGGTAATGAATTTAGGAAAAGTGGTGGCAGTATTAAAATCATTGAGAATTTGGTTATGTCGTTGTCGTTCCATAACTGATTCAAATGTCATCATAAACATAACAAGATAAGAACCGGTTAGTGTCGTTGTTTGAAATGACCAATTCTGACTTTCAGACAACGATGTAGTCCGCATAAGACCAGACATTGGAATGTGCTTGAAAAATGCGGGGATCCAAGATTTCGCAATCCATACATTGTATTCATCCAAGTGTTATCAGTAATTTTAAACTCCTCCAACATCTGACGCCACACATTTTCGAATTCATGTGGTTCCAACTTAGAATTCCAAATTATAGAGTGAAAACGCTTTCGAAATTTTTGATTGGTTGTTGCGTCTTCAATTGATAAAATCTGTATAAATTCATTCTGTTAGAATATGATATCATGAAGTTAGAATGTGGACAAATAATTGTAGAATCAGAACAAACGTAAGAGTTAAACCAATTGATTCTGTCAGAATATGATATAATTGTATAATCATAACAAAAGGTAAGAGTTAAAGACAATGGGTTTGTTAACATGAATTGATTCTGTGAGAATATGAGATAACGAATGCAGAATTTTAAAAGAAATTGTAGAATGATAAGAAAAATTAAGAGTTAATGCAATTGATTCTGGTTAAAACAAAACATTCTTCCAGAATATGATATAATTGTATAATCATAACAAAAAGTAAGAGTTAAAGACAATGGGTTTGTTAACATGAATTGATTATGTTAGAATATGAGATAACGAATGCAGAATTTTAAAAGAAATTGTAGAATGATAAGAAAAGTTACGAGTTAATGCAATTGAATGTTTCTGTTTAAAACAAAACATTCTGACAGAATATGAGAAAACAATTGTAGAATCATACCAAAAAAATAAGAATAGTATTCTTTTTATGCATACCTTATTTGGCAACTTCTTCGTTATATGCCACATACATAACCTATGATGTGCCAATGGGAAAACCTTATCTATAGCTTTTTTCAAAGCTGGATCTTGATCAGATAAAACCAATTGAGGTTGTTTTCTAAAAGCTTTCAAAAAAGCTCTAAGCAACCATTCATAAGAAACTCCATCTTCTTTACTTAAAAGACCAGCACCAAATGTTACACATTTTTTGTGATTGTCAATGCCAGTAAACGGTACAAAAACCATATCACACCTATTTAAAAAAAATATATATTAGTTTACATAAATGGAAATAATGAAATTCTTATTGAAAAATATTAAAGGTTATAAATACTTATTCATGCTGAATGTGGCATCGAGTGATATAACGTCTCCGAATGAATTGTAATTATACTTTGCTGTTTCGTCAGCCCAGAATAAAGAATTCAATCTCTTGTTCGCCACTTTATACTCAAAAGTAAATGATGGGACATTTTTCTTCCTATCATTCATCTTGTCAACAAGGAATTTCGCGTCCCTCCCACCTATGTAACAATTAAGATTCCTCCTAGCATTCTTGAAATCAGTAACCAATCCACCTCGAACCGAAGGAAAAACCTGAAGAGCACTATACAGTCTATGTGCTTTTACAGGACCAATGTTCTGTTTTAACAAATTATGAATGAAAATTTCTTGGGAATAATCAAGTTTTCTTTTTGAACGAGATAAGTGCATATTGCCTTTGCTAAACAACTCATGATTATGTCGCTCTACAAAATCACTCACGACATATGTAAGAGTACCGGGAATTATTTCTAAAACAACTTTCGCTTTACAATTCCTCCTAAATAGATCTTTCCTTCTTTGAGTCTTCTTATGCTGAATATCTAGAGTATCTAGTTTACTAGTATTCGGATTACCTTCCCGATTGCACACAAGATGTCTATTTGTAATAATCCCATTTTTCATTTTTTGGACTCTTCCAAGCCTGACATCAAAACCAGATTCTAATGCATATTTTCTATACATTGTTTCTGCTTCACCATATGAATTAAATTTTGATGAATATTTTGGTTTGATGTCGTCTAAAACAATCAGAGTCCAATACAAGGTGCCACCGGGAGAAACATAATCATGAGTAACATGTGGTTGTCCTGCTTAAACATAGCAAATACAAAATTATTATGAAAGAATTATATAACTTTTATTTTGACACAATTTTATTTTTTCTGTAAAAAATATAAAAAAAAAATTCTGAATTAAAATTGGTACCTTCAATGAAATCAATATTAAACTCTATATCTTCATGAGTAACATGTGGTTGTCCTGTTTAAAATAGAAAATACATAATCATTCTGAAAGAAATTGGTACCTTCAATGAAATCAATATTAACTTTTTTCTGTAGCAACTTCAGTATCATGAATTGAATTTATTACCTTCACTGTAATCAATATTAACCTCTATATCTTCATCAACAAAGTGATTTTCGTCTTCATCATTATTTGCCTCCTCTGTATGTTCAGCAATGAAAGTATTAACAATATAGAATCTGAAAACAGAATGAAAAATTAAACAAAAAATCAAAAAACTAACCTAAATTAGGATTACTGCTTTCTCCTGTTTGAAATCCGTCATTATATAGTGTATCATTATCAGGAAAATCAAAATCTTCAATTCCATTTCCATCATCACTAGCCAAATAATGTTCCTCATACATATGATTATTGACATCTGCTTCTTGATCGCCCATTGCTAAGAAATTCTGAGAGTGTTTGTCTATGCTTTGTTAGTTAAAAAATCAAAATATTTAAAAATGTCATACAAACTAGATAGGGATGAAAACGGATTCTATGCAAATTAAAAGCCTTGATATTAGGGATCATTGATAAAAATAAATGATTCCGATTTGATTTTTTTTAAAAAACATGATAAAGGGAAAACATGAAAACGGTACTATATTCACATTCCAAATATAAAAAATTCCAACATTACATTATATTAACTACTTAACAATAAAATTATGTATTTTTTTAAAGAAAAGTTGCAGAATATTTTATTAACGAAAGTATTCGATTAGAATGATATATAAATATGCCTTACAAAACTCTGCATGTTATCGGAATGAAATAATTCTATCAGAATGCTATCGGAAGTATGACTTATAAAACATATCAATTTTTGTTAACTCGAATCAATGCACGCATAAACAACTCTTGTTAACTCGACTCTACTATGATATTCTGTTAGAAAGATAACCTGTATGATCATATAACACATAAATATATCATAGAACACGAACAACTTATTAATTTTAACCATAATACTTAAAGAAAAACACATAGAATTCATCAAACGACAACTTTATTACACTGAACTGAAACTTGATAATACCATATAATTCCTCAAAAATTACTTTTATTTTACTGAAATCCAACTAAATAATATCTAAAAACGTCCAATTTGATGAAGTTCTTGTAGTTCTATGATTTCTTCAATCCAGAAGGACAATTCCTGCTATCATGACCAACTCCAAAGCATGTTTTACATCTTCTTATTTTCTTCACAACTTTATTCACCGGATTCTTGGAATCATTGACATTACCCAAATCCTTCCCGGGATTTTGATCATCGTTTGCCTGGAATATTATCAAATTGAAGAAAAGGGTGTGTGGGGGAAATTTGAAACAAAATCAGTATTATCGTTGACAGAATCTTGTAAATATGTATCAATACCTGGTTCTGATTTCCAGAATGAACATCCATCGAATGAGTAACACAAATTGATCGGCAGAGTATGTATTCGAGAATTGTGATCTGTGTTTTTGATCGGACGTTAAAATCAATTATATAGAGAAAATTACATTAAAGATAAATAAATCAATCAAAGAAAATTGCCTAATATAAAGGGATAAGACTGGTGGTTGTCGAGGCCAACACAAATAATAACCCTAAATATTACACACTAAAATAGTGTATAGTGGTAAAGGGATCGAATCCACGGAGATTGGTTCAATTTATAACTCTATGAAAAATCTCTTTGTAAAATACTTGGAATATGACAATAAATTAAAAATGGGGGTTTTGATGTTTTGAAATACTTGAAACAAACTAGAATTAACTATGATTTAAATAGACAATTGCAACAAAAATAAGAATTAGATGTAAAATCGATAAGGGAAAGATGGTTGACTTAAAGTTTTCTCACTTTGACTTTTGATGAACATATCATTAGAATTCAATGGTGCAATACTTGTTTTAAATCCTCAATTTGGCTATGGTAATCCAAGGAGCTTGAGATTACCTAGACTTTTCTTAATTGTTGAAATGGCTAGAGAAGCTCATAACAATTTCCTTAGTCAAAGTCACTAATTCCAAATAGCATGTAATTAGTGAAAGTCAACTAGCATTAAGAACCAAAAAGTCACCAAATCCAAGAGGGGTCAAATGCTTTCACCACCATGTTGGAGGAAATGTTTTTATGATTGTGTGAAGCTAAAACAACACAAAAATCATTTGTTGCTTGCTAATTTGAGGATCCTTTACTTAATCAAGAAATTAGCCAACTAATCACCACAAACACATTTAAACTCATGAACTAAAACATACAAGTAATGATAAGATGTTAAAACACAAAACATTCCCATAAAGATTCAAGAACATGTTCATGGATTCTTCAACATTCAACAAAAGTTCAAAGGATTAACCAAAAGTCAACCAAGATTAGTTTAGCCAAGCATGGCTAAACACAAAGAAATAAAGTTAGAGAAAATTGTACCAAACATTAAGCAAGAATCAAGAGGTAAAAATATGATGTTCTTCAAGGGTTCTTGGCCTTCAAAAGTCTCCAAAACTCCAGAGAGAATCTCCAAAAATCGGATGTGCAAGTGTGTGCAAAAGATGGGCACCAACCTTCCTCAAATAGCCTTCCAAATGAATTTCCGAAATTACCCCTGCAGGGCCTTGCGCGACCCGCTTGCTGGTGCGCGGGTGGGTTGCGCGGGTGGTCCCTGGGTGTAGCATCTTTGAAGTTTTGGGCCTTCATAGCTTAGCCCACTTGGCCCAGGTCGAGTCCAATCACCTCCTAGCCCATTTTCTTCAAGTTTTTCTTCATTTAAAGCCCAATTTGACCTCTCCAAATCCTCCAAAGCTCGTGAACTCGCCCGATTAATAATTTTCATACGCTTGAATGTTCCCCCGCATCTTTCAAATTTAAAGCTCAATTCTTCCAAGCCTTCAAGCAATTGACAAGTCCACCCCATGAATCACCTTCATAGCCATCAAGCATGAAATCTCCAATTCCCTTCAAGCCCAATCGCCTCGCAAGAGTGCCGCCCCGCTAGTTTCCAAGAAAATCTGCAATAATGCTCAAGAAACTAGAAAGTACCCCGAAATGGTCATAAAAATAACAAAAGGGAAAATATGCATGAAAGTTAACTAAAATGCGAATGAAATGTACTAAAATAAACTATAAAAATAAGTAAATAAAATGAAGCTATCAAAGACCCAGATTAAAAAAGGAATTAAAATGAAAGATTACATAATTACCCTTATGGATTAAAAAAATTAATTAATAATTTGCTAAATTGTGATTGGTGCATTTAGGCACACAATACTTATTGAAAACATTTGAACCTAACTCTATATATATATATATATATATATATATATATATATATATATATATATATATATATATATATATATATATATATATATATATATATATCCTAATCCTAATAAATGAAACCTTTTCCGCCACGTATCACTATACTTTGCCATTTCATATGTAAGTTAAATTACCTTCTTACCCCCAATAATATCTAATTGTATTGACCAATAAAAATCCATTTAAATTAGGAACTAATAAAGAAGTAAATGGTAAAAAATATATTTGTCATATATAAATTGATGTCCCTTAACATCAGCGGTTGGTTTAAATTCATATTTCAAATTTGAAATTTTTTATCAATATTTCCGGAAATTATCTTTAATATGTAAAACAATAATATACTTATCCATTTTATTTAGTCACTATATATTATATTCAATTCAATGAAACTCAATAACCATATACTATTCATCAGAGAAATCGTCTCATGTGTATCAAAAATATTATTCTCCAGTTTTTTTGCTTTTGTAGTTTTGTATTTGTGTGTGTATGTGTTATTGTGGTTGGCTGTTTGTTTCTATTGTTTTTTGTTACTACGGTTTTTTTTTTCACCACAGAAACATTCTACATCACAAAAAACAGTTACCTTATTACCTTATGATTCCTAATTTCTAATTAATTCTTTATTTGTTGTCTATTCGAAAAAAGAGTTTTCATTGTAGGAACCCACAAAATAATATTTATAAATAATTTTGGGTACTTTTCGAAATAGAGTTTCCAACTTAAAATTTGATATTTTATGCCTATTATTTTTTTACCAATTATTCATAAACAATTAAACATATAATCATAATAAAACTTATAACAACTCTAGGAATGTTCATCCACATTTTTTTATTGCACAAATTGCTATTTTTTTTTTACAATTTAAATAATATTTATTATATTGGTGGTGCTCAAGACAATAAAAAATTTAAAGAACTATATTTGAACAACATAAAATCTAATAAAACGTGTGCAACATCAAACGAACAAAGTTCATTTACACACATCCTTATATACATGTAGTTTTGTTACATTACCTCATTTTTCGGATTTAAAATTTCATTTTAATACCATGTATTGTCGTTTATTTTGCTATGTACACTATTATCATTTTCTTATTAATCATCATTCAAATAACATTTATTACAATTTTGAACCATTTGATATAGAGATTGTAGATAAAGATATTGTATCAAAAGAAGCATTTATAAATCTATCATTTTTTATTATTATTATCTAAGTTATTCTAATTTGTTACCGTTAACATATCAAATTTTATAAAAATATTAATATTTGCAAATATATGATTAATGATTACTTTTGTGTATAAATAAGTTTCTAAAAATTCGTAAAGAATTTGTAGAATTTATTTTTTTATATAATATTGTTTTTATTATTAGTAGAACACATTTTATTCATCATTTGAATTTGTAATTTATTTTATTGTGTTCATATAAGTTTCTTATATTATCTTAATTTTTTATTTGTATATAACAATGCCGTTTTCATGATTCGATGCGTTTGTTTCTTTTTTTTTTTTTTTCTTCAGTCTATTCAATTTTATATTCATTATATACAATTATCCTTTTTTTTTTTATTTATCTACACATAAAAAACATTGCTCCTACCTTCAAACCATTTTACATATTAATTTGAGCTAACCATTGAAGTTACCGAGAAAACATGATTTAATTCATTTTGAATTATCAATATTCTTCTACTTTATCATCCGAGGGTTCCACGGGTTGTAACCTAGTATATATATATATATATGAATTGGTTGGTACGGTAATACCGTGATATTTAAAATTTAATACCGTTACCATACCAAGTTTACTAAATTGGTATGGTACTACCAACCAAACATATTGGTAACCAACTATCTTGGTTCGGTTGGTAGCATGTTGGTTGGTTCTCCATGGTACATATTTGACAGCCCTACTCTTTTCATATTAACATAGTAGTATTTACTAAAGTGAACCAATCAAATTGTATATTTAGTTCTTATTTTTAAAAATTAATTCCAACTATCCCTGTAATATTTTTTTTTCTCATCCTAACAAACATAAAATGGTAATTTTACCCTTTCTGTTTCT